TGTTTGGCGTCACCTTAAAGATATCGGTTACGGCCAAAAAATGTTTTGTCAGATCCTTCGAAATCCGAGAAATATTCAAAGGTTTTTGTTTGGGCCGGAAGAAAACAACCCACGGACCTTTCGAGTCATCAGGGTAAGCCTTGTGGCGGGGGGTCGCTGATATTTTCGGGGGAAGGAGTGGAGTAGGGGGCACAGAAGGACAAGGCGGCGATGGTGGACAAGGCGGCGATGGAGAAGAAGGGGGCTGTGGTAGAGATTTCACTTTTGGATAGGCTCCAGTGTTCTTGCTGGTGGTTTGATCAAGGTGCTCTTCGGGGGTATCCATTTCCTCAGAGCTATCAAGCTTTTCAAATGAGGGAGACTTTATTGACTCATCATCAGAGATGTCAAGCGACAGACCCCCGCCTTTATTTGTATCATCCATTGCGGTGACTTAAGATACCACCGCAACGGAATTGGTTGCAATATTAGCTATTAAATGTTTATATTTTCCACAAATTTCAAATATATGGATTGAAATTGGAAAGGAAACAACAAGAAAAGGAAGTCAACACTGTGAGTGAATTGCTCAAAGTGTTAAAAAAAAAATAAAATATGTGCAAAAAAAACTAAATAAGATAATGAATAATAATAAAAATAATAATTTGTAAGAAAGGAAATTCAACGCTGCAGGGGGATTACTTAATATTAGCAAATCAAAAACCAACTACGCCTGTGATTTCTTTTTGGGGGTACACTTTATGAAGACCAAAAATTGAACATGTAACGAAATTATGAAAGATTTTGAACGTTAATAACTCAACTGCCCCTGGACCAATTTCAAGAATTTTCCGACTGTTGATTTTCAACAATAAACTATTAAAAATAGTGGTAAATGTCAAGCATTGCCCAAAAGCGTCGAAATAATTAACAAATCCACCAATTACGTACATGCATAGGCTGCTTCCCTAACACAGTCATCAGATAATCGTTTTGAGACGAAACAAGTCTATGTAGCATTGCTGCTTCCCCAACAGAGAGTCGTTAGTAGACGAATTAAGTCGAAGTGGCATTCGTCTCCGATCTTCGGGCCTGTACAAATAGGGAGGATGCAATTGCGTAACATTTTGCACACTTATCACTATATTCAAAACCACACGCCCCCAACGACCACACAAAATACTCTCCAGAGTTGCAATCTTGTAACCAAATTTGGAAGTAGGGGTGCAAGTAGTTTTGATCGATTCTCTTCATCGAACTTCTGTTTCTTTAATAACTCGACGGCAAACACATTCATTGATACGTTTGTTGTTCTGGGTGATAGAAAAGGATAGCAGAAATAGAGGTTGCTGACTTAGACCGACCATGCTTTAAGCTGTGCCAATATGGTCTAGTTGTTGCACTACCAGGAAAAAAGCACGTCAAAGGATTCAGAACAAAGTTCTGAAGATGATTTTGAAGTTGCCTCCCTGGTACAGTAATACCGAGGTACATAGAATTTCAAATGTTGAGACTTAATAACAGGGGCCTCCCTTAGCTCAGTCGGTAAAGGCCCAGCTACAAAGCAAGACCATGCTGAAGGTGGCTGGGTTCGATTCCCGGTTCGGTCTAGGAATTTTTCGGGTTGGACTTCCCTGGGCATAGAAGTATGATTGGACTTGCCACACAATCATATCAATGCAAAAATTATACAGGCATCGAAAGCTCTCAATTATTAACTGTGGAAGTGCATCTAGAACACTAAGTTGAGAGCACACAATAAGTTAATATGCGAAATGCAATAAGGTTGAAATGCGAAGAAGAAGAAGAAGACTTTAGAACAAATGTCCAATAAAATAATTAATAATTTCTGGCAAAAATCGTTGCAATCCACAATTGCAATAATTAATTCCCTTTATACTTAGATAAGATTTAGTTTTAGTTTTAAGTTTTAAGATTTTAGTTGTTATACTGACATGCAGGTTCGAAAAAAAACCTGTTTAAAACACTGAATCTCCAAGGCAGGAACAATGTAAAAACACTTAGATATATATCATAACAATTAAGGCTGGTAAGTTACTATAATAACTGGAGCACCTAGGTTAAAATGAAATGTAATTTATTTTTAATTTGGAACAAATAAAGAGTTAAAAAAATAAATAAAAGAGATTGCTGATATTCATCGTACACACACTAGGTACCGTATACGTATACGAGAAATGTTTTCATCAGGAAAAAAATCTTGCAGAGCGAAAAAATTTCCTGATGAAACAAATTACTAAGCGGCGCCGGTGGTGTAGAGGTAAGCGTGATTATCTCTAACCACAGCTGGACATCCCCCCACTGGACGGGGCCCCCAAGGACCTCCTACAGTGGACCTATGTTTTGTTATTGGTTTTGTATTGTTCATTTTATATTTTGTTCTTCTTTTTTTTGTATCTTTTTAGTCTGTCTTTTTCGTATGCTATTTACTGTGTTATTGTACTAGCTGTTTAAATGTTTTAGTTCAAGCAATGTGGCTGGGGGACCTCTTTCTAAGGCTTCCCACCCTTTACGGAGATGAACTAGCCTACGGCTAAAAATCTCCTAAAAAGAGAAAAAAAAACTCTCTCCCCAGCAGGCCTGGGTTCAATCCCAGTCGGCATCGCCGGTATGTTCTGAAGCATAACATCTCTGATCACGCCTTCCTTCGGAAGGGAAGTAAACCGTTGGTCCCCGGCGGACACTGATGTTCTTCGGCCTTCCAACCTGTCGCAGACACCAGTTCAACCCCTGTCCAGCAGCAGACGGGTCGAGACTCTTGCGAGTGCCCCAATCATTGAACCGAAGGCTTTAAGTCTGTACTACCATCGGCCCTTTTCAGGGCAAACAAAATTTTCCAAAAGAGTTAAACTTCTGAACATGTCCCAACTAAAATTCATATCAAAAGGTTCTTTTCAGGACAATCATAGTCATACCATAGAGGTAACTCTAAGACTAGAAGGTCCCGAAATAACGTGCTCAACTTTTTGGATCAGCTCTGGTCGGTCCCAAGCTAATCGATGCACCCCTCGAAATATAGGAAAATCCATGAACCCCTCATTTTATCTGTCAAACTTTCATAGCGAATCAAAACAAACATTGTGGAGTAGTAGAATTCCGACTAGAATGGGGTACGTTAATCGTTTGCTTGGGACCAATAGGCTAGTCAAGTAGTGAGCCAATTTAAAATCGTTAGTTTCGTATTGATTGTTGGTCATACTAAAGAGTATGAACAGAGAGAACCCCGCTCAAATTCCGATTCCTACACAAAACACAAGCTCCTGCTGCAGTTAACAAATAACATTTATCATATAAGACCATGCACCCGAGCAAAGTCCAGCATCAAAATGACAGCAAATTGAAATCAAGTTTTGATATCAACATCAAACTGAAATCATAATTGACGAGTAATCATCACAACATCAAATTTAGATTTCAATTTGATCTCAGATTTTGCTCGGGTAGTCCATCGTCACCATTGCGTACAAACTCATAGCCCGGGCGAAGTCTGAGATCAAATTAAAATCTAAATTTGATGTTGTGATTTCGCTGATAGTGATTACTCGGGCTACTGTCGTTTTGGTCGTTTTAACGGTTAAAATATCAAAATTGAGAGCAAACAAATCTTCCTGTGACATGATATTTCTGCTATCAGTGAGAGCAAACTGAAAACTTAATTTTGATATCCATTTTTCCTGTTGATAACAAAACAAGTATTCAATTTGATGTTATGCTAAGGCAATGAAAACAAACCCGCAGCAACATATGTTTTAAGAACAAATTTACAGCAAAATTAAAACAAAATTAGGTATCAAATTTGTCAATTGCGTAAACTGAAATCAAATTATGATTTCAGTTTGATGTTGATATCAAAACTTGATTTCAATTTGCTGTTATTTTGATGCTGAATTTTGCTCGGGAGGGCTGTCCCTTGTAGTTTTTATTAGCTTTCACTGCTGGGAACCAAACTAAAAACAATAACGACACATTATTCTACGAGTACTTTAAAGTTAATTTATTTTTAAAGACGATATTTGCGTAAATAATATAATTTGCATCGTTAAAAACGCGAGCCGCGAATAATGATGTAAGATGAAACTGTTTTGTTTAACTTTTTTGTACACACCGCATTCGAAGGTATGTGTGTGTGTGTGTACGAATCGTCTATCATCATATCCAGTGTTTTCGATTTAGTTCAAACAAATTGTGTAAAAACAATGCTTTTATTGCTTTTAAATGTGCTTAAACTATGTTCAATTTAGAAACCATCACCCATAAAAATAAAAAAATCTTATTTTGTTTTCCAATACAAAAGTATGGTAGTAAATATACGTAAATGTGGTTTTGAATCAATCAACTACTACGACTAATTGACTTGGTTGGATTTATTGGCTAGGTGCATGATTATTTTCTATACGGAAAGGGGTATCCTAGGTGGTAGGTCGTTAATATTGGCAAATTGAATTTCAATGTAGTGAGGGTTTCAATACTGGATGATAAAAAGATAATCTACAAAAAATGACGAAGGTTGAAATTTACAGCATGATAGATATCACTTTTTTTTTATCTTTCTAATGTATTTTTGTAATTGTTACACATTTGACCTAACAATAGCGAACTCTAGCAGCTATATTTACGTTAGTTGCGGTAGTGCATGATATACACTCACACCACTACACCATCAATGATAATCAATTCGCGTATCGTATCACCGGTACCTCTGATACAGCTTGTTGTTCTCATTACTATTACCCGAGATAAAGCACCTCTTAGATCTTTATAAAAATACGATATGGACTAAACAATCTTCACTGAAAATTTCAAGTCATTTAGAATAATAGTTTAAAAGTTACAGCCATTTTTATCGAATGCAACCTTAATACTGAAATCTTAGTAGATTTAACGGTGTTATCCATGTTATCCATATGCAAAATAGTATTCCTAACTATGATTTATGTTTAGTGTGTATAACAAATCACATGATGCTTTTATTGTACAATATGATGATATTTGATACTCACTAAGCAGAGTTTGTGAAAAGTACTTGATAGTATTTGCTATGTCCGAGCCAGATGGTGCTGGAATTTGATTGCTAAGTAGTCGTACATGAAATTCATGCAGACATCGCAATTTGGCTTGAACTGAAATTTGATTTAAAAAAATTAATAGACATATGGCCTAAGTTCTTAAAATTTTAAGATACTCACATGCTGCTCCTCTAGTGCCCATATTAACGAGCTGAACTCTAAAGCTTCCCGTCATTTGTTATCAGCTTTCTCTGGTATTTCACTCATCTAAGTTTAACTACTTCTAGTAACTTATGTAACTTATGAAGTTTCACTACCTACATCCAGTATTCCAAATGTAATCTTACCAACATTAATGTTTCACTACATGCCGAATAGACACTGGATTATTGATTAGCTTAATTGATATCCCAAAAAATATTACTAACAGGGCTGTTTTTTCCAGTAACACGACTTTTTCTTTTCTGTGATGTGATACAGTTCAACCATCCAAGATGGCAGATGAGATGGAAAATCAATAATTTGAAGCAGCAGGCATTTCGCTATGCATACGATAGAAGAAGAAAATTCTGGAGGAAATGCGGTGCGGAAAATCATTCACGTCTGAGATGGTATGACAATTACATATACAAGCTTACCCAGTCAGCTGGTATCGCTTACCGAAACCATACGCGTAATGCTAACAAATGCACGCAGGCGTACGTAGACACGTGCTTCGCTTTCAGATACCACGTTGTGTGTTCGGAGGGATCGTTTGTTTTGGTATGAGTTGGTTTGTTTACACTCGGAACGCCTGAACTATATACAGTTAAGTAGTAGTAGTAGTATTGGTAGTAGTAGTATTAGCAGAACGGTTAATGCCTTGTTCAGACTACAGAGATATAACATATTATAATTTAAATCGACAGTAATGCCTTGTTCAGACTACAGAGTTATAACATGTTATAGTGCTATCTTGATGGTGGTTTCTGTGTTGCAATTAATTGACAACCGTTATAACATGTTATAACTCTCCAGTCTGGACAGCGTTTAATAGTACGTTCAGACTACAGAGTTATAACATGTTATAGCGCTATCTTGATGGTTGTTTCTGTGTTGCAATTATTTGACAACCGTTATAACATGTTATAACGGTTGTCAACTAATTGCAACACAGAAACCACCATCAAGATAGCGCTATAACATGTTATAGCTCTGTAGTCTGAACGTACTATAAGACTACAGAGTTACAACATGTTATAACCCTAATATAGTAATGGTCACCCTAATGGTGGAGTAAAAAATATGAGGCTAATATTTTTTGATAAGGAAGAATTATACAAATTTTCAGGAAGTTCTGAGACTCACTATAACTTTTTTCCATGGAATTGATTATAGTGCCTATAGTTTACGCCGGTTAATCACTAGTCTACTAGTCAGACTACAGAGCTTTAACATGTTGATCATCTTGATGATATTTTTATGCCTTGTTCAGACTACAGAGTTATAACATGTTATAGCGCTATCTTGATGGTGGTTTCTGTGGTAAAATTATTTGGCAACCGTTATAACATGTTATAACTGCTCAGTCTGGACAGCGCTTAAAACGCTATCCAGACTGGAGAGTTTTAACATGTTATAACGGTTGTCAAATAATTGCAACACAGAAACCACCATCAAGATAGCGCTATAACATGTTATAACCATAGAGGTAACTCTAAGACCACTGGGTCCCGAAGAAAATCATTATTTTTTTTGGCTCACTCAGTACCAGAACAACGGTCCCAAGCAGTCCCAAGCTATTTCACTCACCCCTGCATGTTCTGCATGAATCCACACACCCCTGATGTTATCTGTCAAACTTTCATAGCGAATCAAAACAAACATAGTGTAGTAATAGAATTTCAACTAGAATAGGGTACGTTAATCGTTTGCTTGGGACCAATAGGCTACTAAAGTGGTGAGCCAATTTAAAATCGTTAGTTTCGTATTGATTGTTGTTATAACTCTGTAGTCTGAACCAGGCATAAAAATATCATCAAGATGATTAACATGTTAAAGCTCTGTAGTCTGACTAGTAGACTAGTGATTAACCGGCGTAAATTATAGGCACTATAATCAATTCCATGGAAAAAACTAGGGTGACCATTACTATATTAGGGTGGCCCAAAAAATCTATATTATTCAAAAATGCCTTTTTTTCATAACTTGTTTGAACATTTTTCAGGTTCTATAATTGTTTTTGTCTCCCAGAAGCTCCGTTATCGACATGATATATTTCACTTCTGAATGAAAGTCATCCGATACTAACACAAAAAAACTGGTTGCCGTTTACTCTGCCGAAAAATAAATCACAAACTGACTGTTCGCAACATTTTCTCTTGGCGGGACTCTTATTATAACATCGACCCTGGGTGCAACATTCAGTTCAGCCTGGGGGCCGTACATAAACCACGTAGACCAAGTTTTAAACGTTAAAGATCCTACCTTCCCCCTTCTATACTTTTCTAAAACTTTAAAATTTAAAAGCGTTTTGTTTCAATACTCCTCCCAAAGCATCACAAGAGCCCTTTCCATGACCAGTTGCGAAAAAATTCCACACAACAGCAATGCCAAAATCTTTTTGCATGTGCATCACCTACGAGTGAGTGATATAACTACGAGTCCAAGCTATAACTCATAGGTATATCACTCGTTCGTAGGGAATAGTGCTCTCCAGGCGGGTTCGTATTGGTGCGATTTGCGTGTGATAGTGAGATAAAATTGTTTGTTAGCTGTGAGAAATTTTTTGTTTGCTGTAAGAACTGTCATTCTAAAGTAAAAATAAACAACAAAACGAAAACAAACCCTACACTTACACGGTAACAGTCAAATACCCTTTTATGAGTAAAAGTTAACCAATTTTTAATAAAAGTGGCATTTCTCATCAATGAGTAAGTTATTTGAACAACAATGAGTTTCTGCTAACAGTAGCTAAAAGTTACTACTTAATTGGCCTAATAAATTAATCATTAATTAGTAGTGCCATTTTTATTTACAATGGGTTCACTTTTACCACAAACGAAGTGACAGACGGAGCGGCTCGAAAACATTGGTGACGCACCTGCTATTGCAATTTTTCAGTGTACCACATGGCAACACCACTACTACTGCGAGGGGGCGACACATCTAAATCTCACTTCTATACTCAAAAATATTACTAAACAAGCAAAGATTAAAATTTAATCATTTTAAGGTTGACCAACGTTTATACATTGATACGATTAAATTTTGATTCAAAATTATACTAAGTCCGAATATCGGCGTGAAATTCGTTCAGTGTTTTTTTTTTTTTGCAAAGCAGTAACTGAGTTTCAACATTCAAGCAAAATATTCAAACAAAGCTGTGGTTATTATTTGCGGGGTGTTTTCCGAAGAACTGTGTGAACTGTGTTAGAGAAACAAAACGTCGAACTTCGGTAATTCACAATTGAAGAAAAATCTCGAGAAAAATCGCCTGTGATGGGTTGAAGCACCAGCGTTTGATTGCCTCCATGTGGCACAACCCGAGTGGAGAACTGAAAGCAGTCGACTGGGATTTGGCCCTAATTGCCATCGCCCAAGCTTTGAGTAGTGTTCCCAAGGGCAAGTTGGAGCAGTTGCTGGATGATTAGACTAATGCCGAAGCGTTGATTTGCCCTTAAGGATCTGCTGAACTGCTTGGGATCGGAAACTTGTGCGTCGCTGAAGTCGTCAAGATGGAGGATTTCTTCGTCTTTACCAAAGTCATCACGGTGATGTTAGAGTGCAGCTGATCCACGCCATCCTGCCGGAAGCTACCTGCACTGAGAAACAAGACACCTACATCAACCCGGAAGGCCACACTCATAAAACTCTCGTTGCAGTGACTCTCCCAGGTCTGTCCCGCGAAGATCCTTCGTACCCTGTCAGAAATTCCCAGAGCTTCTCTGCCATACACCCTATAGATGAACTGCACTTCCGACCGAAGGACATCACTTCGCACCTAATGTTCTATAGCCAAAAGAAAGAAGGATTCAAGAACATCGCGTTCCACTTTCTTCTGCAGAAGATCGGTTGAAACTCATAGCCATGTCATGTTCCACACCGAAAACCACTCCACCAATGAGATGGGCATTTGGATGAATGAATGTGACCTGCCATCATTTTGTATCGAAGTTCAACTAAAACCTCCCAAGGGCAATTAAAAGATGTTCCAGCGACGGGGTTGAGCAAATTGACTTTCTCCAGGAACAAAAAATCCCAGCAGCTCTATGGCATCAACCAGTAGGCAAATCGTTTGTAATTTTCACAAGAAATAAAAATAATTAGTTGCGCTTCAATGTTTTTTTCATTACAGTAAAGAAAACAAACAATCAGTATCACCCTTCAGATATATCCAGATTAAGCAACCCAAGCTTAAAGTCAAACAATACAAAGTAAGCATAACATGAATTTATACTCGCGTCCTTATACAGGACTTTTATACTAAGTTTGCATTTTCTCCTTTTATACCGAGCTATGCGTCGGTCAGGAGAGTTGCGATTTAGCGTAGCTTTTATACTATTTAGATTTTAATATTTTTTGAGTGTAGATACTCGAAAAATCTCGTACTAGCGAATAAATCTTCGAACAATCTTCTATCATTTTTCGCATCCACTTGCATCGCACATCAATTTTTTGCAGGAAATCTTCAGAATCGTCATCAATCTGCTTTCTATCTACTCAGCGTGTGTAACCAGTGGTTCCAAATTATTACTTGTTGGCTCCTCCAAAAACTTATTGCCGTATAAAACGAATACGCCCTTCTGATTAAACTAGCACATTTACTGAATGATTGGTAACAGTGGCACTCACTTGTTGGCTTGCGAGTGTGTGAGCCTGTTCCACTTCCACGAGTACCGATTCGAGTGCGATCCTATTATAACAGTTTGAGCGGGCAAAACATATCCCAGCCCTATTAGTACCTGAGCTCATCCACAGATGGCGCCTAAGGTTTTGAGAGCAAGGTGTTTCACAACACACAACATAAATGTCATGTGGAATGTTCTAGATTAAGGACATTATTTTAAAATATATATATATATAGCTCAGCTTCTACCCGGAAAAGATCTTTTTCCAACTTATCCTAGCACGGAGTAGAAGCAACAATCAATACGAAACTAACGATTTAAAATTGGCTCACCATTTTAGTAGCCTATTGGTCCCAAGCAAACGATTAACGTACCCTATTCTAGTTGAAATTCTATTACTACACTATGTTTGTTTTGATTCGCTATGAAAGTTTGACAGATAACATCAGGGGTGTGTGGTTTCATGCAGAATATGCAGGGGTGAGTGAAATAGCTTGGGACTGCTTGGGACCGTTGTTCTGGTACTGAGTGAGCCAAAAATAATAATGATTTTCTTCGGGACCCAGTGGTCTTAGAGTTACCTCTATGGTAGAAGTGCGCGCGTGTGTTGCAGTTAATCTTAGGTAGTGAATTAAATAACCTCATGGTGAAAACGTGTTAATTTCAGTGATTGTTTCTTTTTTTTGCTTAGTAGGCAGTACAACCATAGAGGTAACTCTAAGACCACTGGGTCCCGAAGAAAATCATAATTATTTTTGGCTCACTCAGTACCAGAACAACGGTCCCAAGCAGTCCCAAGCTATTTCACTCACCCCTGCATGTTCTGCATGAATCCACACACCCCTGATGTTATCTGTCAAACTTTCATAGCGAATCAAAACATACATAGTGTAGTAATAGAATTTCAACTAGAATAGGGTACGTTAATCGTTTGCTTGGGACCAATAGGCTACTAAAGTGGTGAGCCAATTTAAAATCGTTAGTTTCGTATTGATTGTTGGTACAACTATTGTAAATAGTACGATAAAGGAGGGTAGTAATACTAAATTTTTTTGTAAAAATCACTCTCACTTGAACCTACAGAAGAAAGAAATGAGAAGAAAAAGGTAATTTATTTTGTAACATTGTGAAAACTATGCTGGTGTAGAATAGTGACGTCACAGGGTAACTAATGCTGGTGGTTAGGTCCAAAGGGCATTTTTCTTTTATTTTGTGGTCCAATCTGACAGGAAAGTGTCCGGTGAGTGGAACTCCGGTGGTGCTCCGTGTTCCGCGAAGAGGCAGGGTGTTTGCGACGTCTCGGAAGGGCGCCATTGCGATTATTGCCACATGGAGAGGCAGTGACTAGCCCCAAAAGCCACATCAGCCATCATCAAAGCTACCCGTCCGCCATTGTAGATCCACCGTATCCAAAGCCACCGCGTGGTCAACGCTAGTGTTAGCGGGTTGAATCTAGTGCCCGGCTTTCATCATCGTCATCTTCGGCTAACCTCATTCGCCCGTGCGGATAAATTATCCGGCTGCGGCCGTCCGCCACCACCACCTTCAGCTTCCCACCACCGCTACAAGTGTCATCCATCATGGTCAACCACCGTTATCATCGCCAGCACGACCAACCCTAATCAACATCGTCAACAGTACCATCACCAGCGTAAACCTGGACTCGGTCCGAAAATAACGCATGCAAGTACCCTAAATTGTGACGTCACGAATATACAAATGTAGAATGAAAAAGTAGATTCAGTGGCAGTCAGTTATTTCCAAGAGCAGCCCTGGTTAACATATTTTCACCCTTTTCGTAATTCCGTCTGAAACCGGGTTCACAAGGGAACCGTCAGGCCTCGCCTTTCTAGTGATACGAGTTAAAATTTCTTCTTCGGGTGTGTTGAGCATTCATTCAGTGTTAGTTCTGTCGTTACCTTCTCTTTGCAAGGCAAACGACATCTGTGGGTTGAGTATTATTATCTTTGTTGCTCCTGTTAATTTGGAATTCGCATATTTGACGCAAAAGTGGAAGATACAAGCTACAGTAAATGACCCTGAAATCCCTTATCCTGAGTTAGCAGGTAACAATTTGGCGCCCAACTAAAATTTGAATTTATTTTTGCATTGAATTATCGAATTACCATTATTATAGGGGAAATGAAGGCTTCGGCATGACAGACTATTTTCGGCAACCCAAATTGAAACACTATTTTCACTGGATTTTCTTACGAAAACACTTCGCTGAATGCATGCAAACGATTCTTTATGCTTTCAGCTTCAATTTGACTATATTTTTACCACTTAGAAAAAGCAATCTAGCAAGGTTTTCTTGAAATGCAACACACGCACTACAAATTGTAGCTGATTTCGAGTTGCCGATAATAGAACAGCAGTTTTACATGCAGTTCAAATGGAACGGTTGCCGAAGAAAAATTGGTTGCCGACAGTACTCGGTCTCACTAGAGAAGATTGGAGCTTTGTAAAAGCGTTTCAAAACAGTTTTTGAGAATTCTTTCGACTGAAATTGCTAGATCAGCTGGCAGCAAAAGATTGTAAACAAACCAATACTGCATATGTGTGCGTTGCTTAGAGAAAAAGGCTATAGAAAGAAGGTCGCTGCTTAGGTTGCCGAGAATACGTAAATTCCCCTACATTATTTTTTTTTTATTGTTATATATTTATCGTATTGATACAAGTTTTCGTCCCCCGGAAGGGAGAGCAAAAACAAAGCCCTGTTTAGTTAGCTTCGTCCTCCAAACGAAGTTTAGATTTGTTTGAGAACTGGCAAATTGATTAGAATTTAACAATGGATGTTGAATTCGAAATGTTGTACAAAAGTATGTTAGTACATCATCTCGAACGTCAGGAGATTGAGTATGAATTGAAAATCAGAGGTCTTCCATTCACGGAAACCGAAACGTCTGAAGGAACAATTGAAAACGGAAAAAGATCTAGGCAATCAGGACTTGGAATTTGAGCGGTTAGATACTACGATAGACGAGGAAATTAAATATATCGACGCGAAAGTAAAGGAAATTAAAGATTGCCTTACTGGTAAAACCCGTTTCGAGGGAATACGCGATAGTCTCAAAACACGGTTAGCACACTTCTTTGCGCGAACCAAGAGATTGCCGGAAAATACCGAGAAAGATGAAGATCTCATGGATATCGACACACTCATTTCGTGTATTCGCGGAGCATTTAATTCCCTTTTTCCATTGTTTTCGGGACAACGCGATTTATTAGAACAATTGAACCAATCGTTTTCGAAGCTCTTGGTAGCCAATCAAGAATCGCTCGAAGGATCCAGGAATTCGCGAAAACGGAGCTTAAAGTCAGTTGAAAATCAGGTGGGCTATCAAAACGTTCCGTCAAATTTTCTACCGTTCATGATGCCTCCATGGATGTTCGGGAACTCCCAGATGCAAATGTGGGCGTTTCAACAGATGATGAGACCAGAATCATTAGAAAACTTTCCCAACCCTCTGAATGTTCAACAGGTTTCGCGACAGGTAGAGGAACCGCAAAAAAAATCGAAGAAATCGTCGCGTCTTGCTAGTCCGAGAGTTCGAAATTCAAGTCAGGAATCGAAGAAATCGTCGCGTCGTGCTAGACCGAGAGTTCGGACAAAGATGAATACTAAGATGAAACTGTCGGAAGAAAAACTTTCTATTTTAGTGTCTTCTTTCACGGTCCCTTTCATCCAAGGAGAACCCCCCGTATTCAAGGTAATTTTGTGGTTTTGCTGCCCCCTCGGAAGAGATGAAATTTTGCGCTCATTTTTATCAAAACAATCACACCAAAATCAGAGATGTCCCATTTTTTAATTACTCGATTGACAACTAATCGATTATTTTTTTGTTCGCTGTGCTGCTATTTTTCCACCAATGAGAGTGCAGCACATGTTTGAAACGATCGGTGATGATCCTGTGGAGATGTTAATGCTTATATCGGCAAGATCTAACCGATTATAAATAGTTTACTTTTCGGTTCGTTAATCGATTAAACGATTATTCGAATGAAAATCGGACATCACTAGATGAATGTGAAACGTCATTTCAAATATAAGGCCGTTCATAAATAATGATACAATTTGAAAGGGACCGGGGCTAATCACAAATTACGTCTCCATGGTAACTGAAATAAACACGAGTGTTCACCGGTTGGTTCGGAGTTCAAGTTCGGAATCGAAGAGGTCATCTAGTTCGGAAGCTGGATGGTCGGCAGTCGAACCTCGGAGGTCGTCACGGGAAAAGAAGCACGGTCACAGATCCGAAAAACGTAGACCAGTTTCGGACTGGAAATTGAAATACGACGGGTCAGATAACGGGCAGTCGTTGATGAAGTTTTTGAAAGAGGTCGATTTTTCGCGAAATCCGAGAAAATGTCACCGAAAGATCTGTTTCGGTCGGCTATTCACTTGTTTAACGGTGCGGCGAAAACATGGTTCATGACAGGATTCGAGAATGAGGACTTCACCTCGTGGGAAGAGTTAAAAGAAGAACTGAAACGCGAATTTTTAAGCCCGGATCACGACCATACAAGTGAGATACGCGCGATCGCGAGAAAGCAAGGACCGCGCGAGACTTTTCAGGATTATTTTCTGGAGTTGCAGAAACTCTTTAATTCGTTAACAAAACCGATGACCGAGCGCAGAAAGTTCGAAATCGTGTTTCGGAACATGCGAGCAGACTATAAGGGTCACGCTGTGTCCTCGGAGATTGACAATCTAGTCAATCTCAAGAAATTCGGAAGACGTTTAGACGCAACTTACTGGTACAAATACCAAACTTCGACAACCGATTCGAACCCGCGCGGAAAATCATCTCAAGTAAATGAGTTGAACACCGGTTCGAAACCGAAATCGAAACCCAGAACGGACGAGAAACAAAAATCGCGAACTTTTCATAATTCGTCATTAGAGCGACGCGCATCGGATGATGAGAACCGAACGTGACAGAAGAAATCGAGTAATGCTTCCCAAACAAATGAGCATAAGGACGGAGGTTTACAGATTTTGTTGCAAAATTATCAGCCACCTAAGGATGGTTACTGCTGCCGCTTAAAAGGTCACCACATTCGCGATTGCGAAAGACCGAAAAAGAAGTATTGCCTGAAGTGTGGGTTCCACAATGTGGACACCTTTGCATGTCCTTGGTGTGCAAAAAACGCGTCGAAGACTGTCCCAGAGGGCCGACAGTTCGACCGACATTAAAGTCCCTTGAAAATACTGAGCAAATTAAAGATACTTTACGAAACCTAGGGTTTAACCAAGTATCGTCAACCGATTATGTACATTCGCACCATTTTCAAGTAAACGAACTGATTGTAAATATAGCCAACGATGATAGGCCATTCGTTAAATTATCCGTTTTTGAAATTCCTCTTATAGGTTTGCTGGATAGCGGGGCTCATCTGAGTATCCTTGGAATTGGAGCTTTAAAACTTATTAGGAAAAGTGGTTTAGAATTGTTTCCCTCCGATGTGAGTCTGCGGACTGCGAATGGAGAAGAACTGGAGGTTTCCGGTTTAGTATACCTACCTGTTACTTTTAATGGTGCTACTAAAATGATAGATACCTTAGTAGTACCACAGACAAACAGACATAACACATTGAATATTTCTCACTGTAAAACATTGTCGCTAAAACATTACCCCCATCTGTTGAGTACACTGTGGTGGGCACTACACTGAACAGATGGCGGTAGTGTGTAAACGTCAAACGCAAGGGAATTAACTATGCGTGCCACAGGTGGTGGTACTACCAACTACGATACTTTTAAATTGTCCGTTAAATGCTTGTTCGATGAACAACGTGCGAGAGTTATGTCTGTTTGTCTGTGGTAGTACCCTCACTGAAGAGGAGAATCCTCTTAGGAATGAACTTTTGGCGAGCCTTCGATATCCGTCCTATGGTAGGACAAGCTCAAGTCAAAGCGGTTGAATTGGACGATGACTCTGAGGTCATTCTTGAAGAGGAGTATTCTCAAACCCGCAATTCCAAAGTTGAATTGGATGAAGAACAAGTAGCAAGGTTAAACGAAATCAAAAGTCAATTTAAAATAGCCACTGAAGGTTTACTGGACACTACTGACTGGATTAGTCACCGAATCGAACTTACAGATGAAGCTAAGAAACTTCCTCCAGCTAGAATTAACCCGTTTCCTAGTTCCCCTAAGAAGCAGGACCAAATTAATTTAGAACTAGATAAAATGCTGGAGTATAAAATCATCGAAAAATCGTATAGTGACTGGGCTTTACGCCTAGTTCCTGTAGATAAAACAGATGGAACGGTGCGCCTGTGCCTGGATGCGCGCAAACTGAATGAACGTACGGTTAGAGACTCCTATCCCCTCCCACACGCAGATAGAATTTTAAGTAGACTAGGAAGAGCCAATTTAATAACTACTCTGGACCTGTCGAAGGCGTTCTTGCAAGTCCCTCTGCATCCTAGATCTCGAAAATTTACCGCACTATCTGTGCTGGGACAGGTATTCATCTACTTAGACGACATCATCATCGTCAGCGATACGTTTGAGGAGCACCTAGCCATACTTCAAGAAGTTGCATCCAGACTTAGAGCTGCCAATTTGTCCATCAACTTGGAGAAATCACATTTTTGTGTGTCCGAGGTGACATATCTAGGCTATATACTAGGCCAGACTGGTTTGAGGCCAAATCCAGATAGAGTGTCAGCAATAGTAAATTACGAACGACCTACTTCATTGAGGGCCCTTAGAAGATTCTTGGGCATGTGCAATTATTATAGGAGGTTTTTGGCTAACTATAGTGCCATTACACAACCCCTTACGGATCTCCTGAGAGACAAACCTAAAACTATTTGTTGGAACGATAAAGCCGAAGCGGCATTTAACAAAATAAACGAACACTTAATTAGTGCCCCCATATTAACGAATCCCGACTTTTCACTTCCTTTTGCAATACACTCCCCCCTATTCTGCGAGTCACGTGACTCTCTCTCACCGGTGAGTCACCTCACACGAGGTGACAATTGTCACCTCACTGGTGACAGAGAGTTACGTGACTCACAGAATAAGGGGGACTGTGACGCAAGTGATGCTGCCATAGCAGGTGTGCTTACACAAACGCATGAAGGGATCGAGCAGCGTACTATTCTCAAAAACTGACCACAACCCAACAACGGTACTTCGCTACCGAAAAAGAGGGCGGTACTAAAATCGATTGAGAGATTTCGCTGCTATGTGGAAGGTAGCAAGTTCACAGTTTATACAGATGCATCTGCCCTAACGTACATCATGCGCAGCAGCTGGCGTACGTCGTCACGCTTATGTCGCTGGAGCATAGAACTCCAAAAGCACGACATGACGATCTTTCACCGAAAAGGAGCTGACAACATAGTCCCCCTTATTCTGCGAGTCACGTGACTCTCTTGGGCTTATTCTGCGCCGCGCGTGAGGTGAGGTGACTAGAGTCACTTGTCTCACTTGATTCTGGCTGGCGAATGCGATGAGAGAAGTCACCTCGGATGAACGCCAATGAACTCTCACTGCATTCCCAAAGTCGACTCCAGTGACTATAGTCGTCTTGAAGTGACATTTGAAGTCGTCTTCCCATCTGCTATCGACTCGTGTTAAAATGGAAGCCAAAAAGTAAGTAGAATTAAATTTTTCATGTTTAGATGTCATTTAAGGTTTTTTTTTAATATTCTTTATTGCATCTTTAGGCTACGCGTGACGAACCGGAAGCAGTTCGAGGAATTGGTGCGCCGGATGGAGGAAAATCCTGCGGTGGCCAAGGGCCTCAAATTTGCTGAGGCAGCAAATATTTCAAAGCCGATTTTTTCATCGACGTGGGTGGACACTACAGCCGCACTTAACAGTCTTGGGCCACCATCCAGAAATCCTTCGGAATGGCAGAAGGTATGAACGCAAATTTCAATTTATTTTCCACCGTTAATCTGTTTTGTTTATTATTACAGGTCTGGGCGGATTTTAAATTGAAAACCAAAAAAAAAATTAATCGAGAACAAAAATGAGGCCAGGGCTACTGGAGGAGGTCCCAATAAAATGCACATCTTATCGGCATGCGAAGAAGCTATCGTCAACTTGCTGTCCTTGGACAAAGCAGTAAACCACGATGGTAAGTGTGTCATGAATACTTTTATACATATAATTAATCGTTTCATTATTTTAATAGGTTCAGTCTATGGTCTGCCGATTATGGCACCGCCGGAGCACGAGAATTTGGAGCATGTTGCGCTTATCGAAGATGATATTGAAAATATCGAGAAAGTTCAACCAGCGGGAACCAGCACTCCTCGGATCTCACCTCGAAACAACTCCAAAAAGAGGAAGCTTATCGAATCAACGTTACTTCAACAGCAGACCGAATACCTAAAGCAGATTACTGCTAATTCGGAGCAATGTGCCAAGTATGCACGAAAGCAGTTTCATCTGGAAGAAGATAAGTTTCGGTACAAGAAGGAATATCTCCTTAGAGAAGAGAAAAGAAAACAGCGAAAGTTAGAATACCAGCTCGCTACTCTTGAGTATAAGAAGCGAAAGCTGGATTTAATGGAAGCGTCCAATACGTAAATTTCATCGATTTTGGATTTTGAATGAATTTCCAGTTCCCATGACATGTTTCGGGTGTACCTTAGGTAGTTTCCAGTTTATTTCGTTTTAGGTCATTCGTGACATGTCCGAGGAGATTTAATCTGGTTATCTTTAGCTTGAGAGTTCCTTTTAGAATTCCCCTCAATAATTTTATTATTCACTCCGGTATTCCCGCATTAACGCGAACTATAACTTGACCTTACCGAAAATGGTTGAAAATTGTTTATAATCCTTGCTAAACTTCAACTGAAATTGTTATGGATCTTCACATGGACGTTCGAAACGAAATACAGAATAGGGGTGGTAATAATGTTTTTTGAAAGTGAACGTTACAAATAATGGGTTGTTAAGAACCATTACCATTCAATATTCTTGTTTTCTCCATACATTTTCGGAAAGAAAACTATATTTGAACCTTTTTACTTATGGTTTGAGAACATTAATGGTAATGGTTGTGATAGTCAGTAAGGTCCATGGATAGTTTTGTATTGTCAGTCAACTTTACGTGGAATATATCGCAAATTTATAATCATTAATTTACAGGTAACCTATTCGCGATATATTCCACATAAAGTTGATCGATGTTACAAAATCATCCATGGACCTTACTGACTACCACCCAGAAATCCACCCACCAATTTTTTTTTTTTAAATTTCCGGAGGAAGTGGTCAGAATCTGACCTTAAGTAAAACTTATCATGGGACACAATCATATGGGAATTCAAAAGAAAATAAGATCATTTGAAGTCATATTGAGTATAAAATGGGTCAGATCTCATCATAGATGGATAGGATATATTTAGGTTTATTGATAGTATAATAGTTACCCAAAAATCTCCAATTTGCACTTGAAATGTATAAAAATGTGTTTGTTGACATTGTTATAGTAATGGATTTTTTCTTATTTATATTTGAGAGTAATCAAGGTGAGCATTAGCATTGTGAATTTCAAGATTTATTGCAAGTTTTGTCATAGAACAGAAAACATTATTTCTATTGGCATCATCATCATCATCATCATCATTTACGTTGAAATCTTCTGCATTATTTTCTGGTTCAAATAATTCTTCGATCTCAAGAGGCATGTTAAATTTTATCCGCAAGTTGTGGAGCGCACAACAGATGTTTACGATTTTTGCCGCCTTCTGTGGTTTATAGTGCAATTGTCGTGCACCTAATACGCACCGAAAAACATTTTTGAGCACTCCAATTGACCTCTCCACGGTTATTCTGGTCTTCGATAGTATTTCATTAAACTTTATTTTGTTTTGAGAAGTAGAATTGGAAGTAGTTCGGAATGGGGTGATCAGATATGGTTTTAAAGGATACCCGGCATCACCTGCAATATTAGAATAACATATTAAACGCTGTCCAGACTGGAGAGTTATAACATGTTATAACGGTCGTCAAATAATTGCAACACAGAAACCACCATCAATATAGCGCTATAACATGTTATAACTCTGTAGTCTGAACGTACTATTACAGATAGTTATTTCTACACTGCATAATAAACCTACCTAGAAGCCAAGTGTTCCGTTCCATACGTTGATAATTAGTTTTTAAGTGCTCATTTAACGGACTAGCATTCCAAATAAATGAATCATGGCTAGATCCCGGATAGTTCGCATCAACGTAGCGTATCATTAGCTGATGATCACAAACCTGAAAAACAAACTTTAATACAAGACAAGTTTTGCTAGTAATCATGCTTACAATCAATGCATTGAGGCTGTGATACCCCTTTCGGTTATAATATAAGTGCTGAATATCAGATGGTGGAGGGAAAATCTTAATATGCGTCCCATCCACGCACCCAATGACACCAGGAAATCCGGACTTCTGATAAAATCCCAATTTTATTGCATTTTTCTCTGCTTCCTCTGTAGGAAACTTAATTGCATCTGGGCATACGTAAGTCTCCATTATACCAATCACTTGTGTCAGTGCCTTAGAAATTGTTGGTTGTGCAATACCCACAAAAAGATCGTTTCTGACACCCTTTTGGTAGCTTCCTTCAGCCAGGAACCTTATGGTGGCAGCGAGCTTGATAACCGGAAGAACAGTTGTTGATCCTATAGTCGCTCCAAGTTGAACTTCAATGATGTTCAGAAGGTGGCAAAACAAGTCCTTCGACACTCGAAAATACCTTACAAACCAACAGAAAAAAAAATTAAAATGTTCGATATGAACAGCTCAATAACAATTAATTTACATATGAGCAGGTATCTCCAGGGGATTCGAACGATCTCTGATCATCCGGCGTTCCAGACGTACGACTGATGCATCCTCTTCGTAAATATCGTCATCGTCCAACCAAAACGCGAAGCTGCTCATAGTCTAGAACGAATCACAAACATTTGCAGCTCAAATCACTCAAAAACATACATGTATCTTACCTTAATGGATTCCTTGGTCAAATCAGTGTTCGAAAGTAATTGCAAAATGAGAATTAGATTGATGTACCGGTGAAATAAGCAAAAAATAAAGCTGTTATCGTAAAATACTTTTAATAATTTTCTTTTGAAAAACGCAAACAAAATAAAAAAATGGGCCTATGCTAGTTAATATATTTTACATTTATTTCGTTCACAGTTAACGCCATGGCAAGAGATAATTTAAGCTATAAACTGTTGATAAAAAAAACATTAAATTTAGTCAGCTTTATTTCCGGGCTTAAGATGTTAAAAATCGCTTGTAGTAATTAATATTCATAGTTGTAAATCTAATAAGTAATGAATTATCAAAAGGTGCTTACGCCCTTTGCAATCAACAAGGTAAACTGACAGTTCGCCGAATGAACCCCGAGTCACTTTGCCGCTCACCGTGAAATGAACCTCTCACGTCACTCGAGTCGACTGTCGGAATCGAGTGAGAAAAGTCACGTGACAGTGAGGTGACTATTGTCACCTCACCACAAGCGCGGCGCAGAATAAGCCTGTCTGTCACCGGTGAGGTGACAATTGTCACCTCGTGTGAGGTGACTCTCCATGTAAATCAAATGGAGAGTCACCTCACACGAGGTGACTATTGTCACCTCACCGGTGAGAGAGAGTCACGTGACTCGCAGAATAGGGGGGAGTAGCAGATGCTTTGTCCAGGTCTGTAGAAGAACTGTCTACGGAGTACACCGGCTGGTATGCTTCCTTGAAAAGGAAAGTTCAATCGGATCCCGAGGAATACAAGGATTTCCGGATCGAAAACGGTATCCTCAAGAAGCTTGTTTCAACACAGGACGATCTTTTGGATTATCGGTTTTCATGGAAAACGTGTGTTCCTGAGTCTCTTTGGGAAAAGATTCTCGTTGAAGAACACGACGATAAACTGCATCTAGGGAGCGAGAAGACGGTGGCCTTGGTGAAGAAGAAATTCTTCTGGCCCAAGATGTTAGAGGCCCCCCTATTCTGCGAGTCACGTGACTCTCTGTCACCGGTGAGGTGACAATTGTCACCTCACCGGTGACAGACAGGGTTATTCTGCGTGGCGAATGAGGTGAGACGACTCGAGTCACTCGTGTCACCCGATTCCAGCTGGCGAGTGAGGTGAGAAGAGTCACTTGGGATGAACCCGATGAACTCTCACCTTATTCTCACAGTCGTATTTGGGTGACAAAAGTCGTACTGAAGTGACGATTTTAGGTGACAAGAGTCGTAACCTCCGCTGCAGTCGACTGGAAGGAAAACCTTAGAGTTCTATAAGCGATGGTTGCGGTTTTCGCTAATTTATTACTTCTAAATTTGTTTCAATCAATTTTTTTTTTGTTTCTTCGGCTTCCTCAATATGGGTATTTTTGGAATAGGAGTGACGTGTAGGAATCGGAAACCACAAAACTGGTATTTTTGGAGTCGGGATGACGTGTAGGGACCGGAAATCGATGTCTGAGGTCAATCTGAAATTCAAGATGGTGGCTTCCGGTTGGAGAAAAACTTGAAAATTCTGTCAAATACCCCTCAATATGGGTATTTTTAGAATTGGGGTGACGTATAGGGTCCGGGAATAGATGTCTGACGCCATTTTTAATTCAAGATGGCGGCTTCCGGTCGGAGAAAAACTGGGAATTATTGCCAAATTACCCACAGTATGAGTATTTTTGGAGTCTTGGTGACGTGTAGGGACCGGAAATTGATGTCTGAGGTCAATTTGAAATTCAAGATGATGGCTTCCGGTTGGAGAAAAACTTGAAAATTCTGTCAAATACCTCTCAATATGAATATTTTTAGAATTGGGGTGACGTGTAGGGACTGGAAATCGATGTCTGACGCTATTTTGACTTCAATATGGCTGCTTCCGGTTGTAGTAAAATTGGGAATTACTGCCAAATTACGCACAGTATGAGTATTTTTGGAGTCTTGGTGACGTGTAGGGTCCAGAAATCGATGCCTGAGGCCGTTTTGAAATTCAAGATGGTGGCTTCCGGTTGGAGAAAAACTTGAAAATTCTGTCAAATATCCCTTAATATGGGTATTTTTGGAATTGGGGTGACGTGTAGGGACCGGAAATCGATGTCTGACGCCATTTTGAATTCAATATGGCGGCTTCCGGTGCGAGAAAAACTGGGAATTACTGCCAAATTACCCAAAGTGTGAGTATTTTTGGAATCTTGGTGACGTGTAGGGTCCGGAAATCGATGTCTGAAGATATTTTGAAATTCAATATGGCGGCTTCCGGTTGGAGAAAAACTGGGAAATTCTGAGTTGGTTGGAAATGCTAACATGAAGCTTTAGTGTGATGATTTATTAGCTAGAGAATGATCTTTAGAAGAGGGTAGGTGGATAGTTCCGTTAGAGTACGGCAGTATGAAAATTGAATAGAAGTTGAAAATGAGCGAAGGGCCATTAAAGCGACAGTTTTTCAAGATAGACGAACATTTTTGCCTAACCCGTATGATGTACGCGGGGACTTGAAGTATGTCTCCAAGTCCACAGGCAAAAATGTGCGTCCCTCTTGTTGCTCATAAACTGACTGCGGCTGTGGAATAGTTCTAGCGACGTTTTCATCACTACCTAAAGCCCCACGTGGCGAGAGCATTTCCAGTCGATGGTGTGTTATAATGCAGTTCTTCTTTACCCAACTATTGTGTTGCTCCTCTCGTCATGACCAACGTGATCATCTCAGAGAGAAAGCAGTAGGGTGGTTGTTGCGTGCTGTACCATCATCAGCATTGTTGACGGCTACTCCCGCATTGAGTTGTTACATTCAAAGTGTTTTTTATGTTACTTCATACGCGAAGCTAACGATTTTCAGAGTTGGTTGGAAATGCTAACATGAAGCTTTAATGGCCCTTCGCTCATTTTCAACTTCTATTCAATTTTCATACTGCCGTACTCTAACGGAACTATCCACCTACCCTCTTCTAAAGATCATTCTCTAGCTAATAAATCATCACACTAAAGCTTCATGTTAGCATTTCCAACCAACTCTGAAAATCGTTAACTTCGCGTATGAAGTAACATAAAAAACACTTTGAATGGGAAATTCTGCCAATACCCCACAAAACTGGCATTTTTGCAGTCGGGATGACGTGTAGGGACAGGAAATCGATGTCTGAGGCCATTTTCAAATTCAATATGGCGGCTTCCGGTTAGAGAAAAAACTTGGAAATTTTGTCAAATACCCCTCAATATGGGTATTTTTAGAATTGAGGTGACATGTAGGGACCAGAAATCGATGTCTGAGGCTATCTTTAATTCACACAGTATAGTATTTTTGGAATCTTGGTGACTTGTAGGGTTCGGAAAAAGATGGCTGGGGCCATTTTGAAATTCAAGATGGTGGTTTCCAGTTGGAGAAAAACTTGAAAATTCTGTCAAATACCCCTCAATATGGGTATTTTAAGAATTGGGGTGATGTGTATCGACCGTAAATCGATGTCTGAGGCCATTTTGAATTCAATCTGGTGGCTTCCGATAGAAGACAAACTTGGAAACACTGTCAAATACACCACAATATGAATATTTTTGGAATCGGGTGACATGTAGGGTCCAGAAATCCATGTCTGATGCTATTTTGAAATTCAATATGGTGGCTTCCGGTTACAGAAAAATAGAAAAATACAGGCGGGTTTTCCGTCCATACACGTCACTCCAATTCCAAAAATACCCATATTGGACAGAATTTCCAAGTTTTTTGCTAACGGAAAGCCACCATATTGAATTCAAAATGTCGTCAGCCATGCATTTACGGCCTCTACACATCACCACGATTGCAAAAATACCCATATTGAGGGGTATTTCATAGTATTTTTCAATTTTCCTGTAACTGGAAGCCACCATCTTGAATATAAAAACCCGAATTTATCCACCTATGGTGTGATCAGACCCTTCTTACTTATTCAAGTTTATTTATTTTATTGTCATTATCAGTGACCAAGCCCCCCACCCCCGTGTCATCCAGTGACGCTACGCCACTGCCTGGGGGTACCCGGAATATATCCGGGTGTAGTCTATTTGGTGAGGCTACCAATCACCTTATCATCGTATTTCAATGTGATTTAATGGGTTTTAATTCAATTCATATTCAAGCAACTCCCCCGGGGTACCCGGAACATGTCCAAGTGTGTCCAATGTGGTCTGGAACACTTAACACGACTTGCATTGATCTTATTTTTGAATTCTGTAGTAATTTGATTTGTCGCATGATGGTTTTGATACGTTTTCCGTTAAATCCAGCGTGAAGGCCCATATTCACCGGATATTATTCCGGCCATATCTCCGGAACCGGTTCACCTATTCCAAAACCGTTCAATAGCGTTCAATGGGACCCCAAGACCTATCATTTGGCGCCGAGTTTGTCCAAATTGGTTGAGCGGTTGCTTAGAAACGTGAGCGCATTCATTTCGTTACATACACACACACACATACACACATACACACACACACAGACATGTTCCGATCTCGTCGAGCTGAGTCGAATGGTATATGACACTCGGCCCTCCGGGCCTCGGATCGATAGTCGGTTTTTCAAGTGATATCTATACCCTTCTTTGTAAGAAGGGTAAAAAGGCATTAGTTTACGGTTCCTACACGTCACCAAGATTCCTAAAATACTCATAATGTGGTGTATTTGACAATATCCCAGTTTTATTTAAACGGAAGCCGTTATCTTGGATATCAAAATGGCGCCAGGCATGGATTTCTGGTCGTCACCCCGATTCCAAAAATACCCCTAGATAAGGGGTATTTGACAAAATTTCCAATTTTTTATCTAACTGGAAGCCGCCATCTTTAATTTTAAAATGGCCGCAGACATCGATTTTAGGTCCTTACACGTCAATCCGACTCTAAAAATACAAATATTGTGTAGTTTTTGATAGAATTTACAAGTTTTTCTCTTGCCGT